CTGTTGGACAAAGAAGCATTTGAATTGCAAAATTCTAAGTTTCCTAAACTATGTTATTCTGATTGGTTTTGAGAACCAGATTTGGTGAACTCTGCACACAGTCTTGACTCAGAGCTTAAATTTTGAACTCTGACATGGTAAAATACATGATGAAAGGAAACAGAGGGAAGGACAAGAATGAGATGGATCCATGAAGCTTGTTGCAGGGTAGTTGTACCTTGCTGACTGTGTTACTTTGTTGTTTTCTTACTGTTAAATTCTTTTTCTGGAAGGATTAGGGGAAGAATTTGAAGGAGCTGAACTTTCTGCTAAGCTCTGTGGGTGCTACACAGATATCCCTGTTCTGATTGAAGGGTTTCAGTATCGCATTACAGATGGGGTCAGATCAGTAATCTGGGGTCACAAACGAGCAGGAAAAGTTACTCCCTTGGAAAAAAAATACCGAGCAAGTATTGCAGAACTGAGAGGGTGAGGCAGACTGATCTTGCAGGAATCATTAACTCTGCTTCTGCACACACTCTTGGAAAAAAAACACATTAAAGCAGGAGGCCAAGAGAATTTTCCTCTGACCATTCCTGAGCATATTTTAGAAATACAGTAAATGAGAAGCAAACTTTTCATAGCTACTTCAGGAACTTGCCTAAAGGTTTTAAGTTGAGCAAGCTCTAAGCCACAGGCTCTCTTTGTAATTGAAAGCCTTTGTTATGGAAACCTTTCTGTAAATTTTATTATATATACAAGCTCCTTTCTCTATAACAAATTACTAATTAATTAAAAAAAAACCCCACTTTATCTAATGTCTAATCTAAGATAAATTTTTTTCTAGTGTCCTAATTCTGTAACTACTTTTAGGATCGAAAAGGACAGCTTGAAATCATCACTTCTCTCCAGAAGACATTATCTTTAAACAGGTAACATTAGTCTAATGTTTAGCAAAGCATTCATAGAAACCAGTAACTATATCTAGTCAGCAAAGACCTTAAATAAGTATTTTCAAGTATATTTGCATTGATGGAAAATAAGAATGTGTCTGTCTTTAATAAGTACAAACTTTGCAGCATCCAGCCTTAAATTTCTGACTCCCAGTCATTTTGTTAACTCTGCCTGAACTTCTGTTGCTGCAGAGCCAACTGGGCCCAATCTGAAGTCAACAGCACAAGTTATTGTGGGGATGACTGGGGAAAAATGAGTCTTGTGTCACCATGAACCCTATGCTGAACCATATATGAGTCAGTGAGACCTATGTGTATGTGCAGAGGCCATTCTATGTACCGAGCATCTGGACCATAATAGATACTACTTTATAAAAGAGTGAACCACCTAAACAAGCTTTATAATTCATTTGCTGTAGGATCAGGCCATACTAGACTTGCTGAAAAGGGCACTTGTATCAGCTGCAAGTACCACTGAAATAAGATTCTTAATCTGATTAGTTTGGGACATTTTTGAATATAATGATAACACACTTTCTGATTTTCTACTGAGGAGACCTGGCTCTTGAAGGTATTTTATTTTATTTTATTTTATTTTATTTTATTTTACTTCACTTCACTTCACTTCACTTCACTTCACTTCACTTCACTTCACTTCACTTCACTTCACTTCACTTCACTTCACTTTATTCTCTCCCGAATCAACTGAGCTGAGCATTGGCCATAGCTGATATTTCCCATCTATCCACTAAAGCCCTAACGTGAAGTGTGGCTCTGGAGAATGATTGCAACACTTGCTCAGTTGCAAGAGAGTTAGGCCTGTAACAGATGTTTCATTACTTGAAGTACATGCTACTACATGCTGCGAGAAAGCTTATAAAAGAAGGATGTTTGTTTGATTTTGACTCACCACCATAAATGTTAATACTTTGTGTCACTTCAGCTTGTTGCACAACTGGCCTGGTTAGGGATTTACTGTAAACGTATCAGCATTTTCAGAGCAGATCAGCAGGGTGATGTCTGCTGCCAGCATTTGGTGAATTTTAGGTCTCTAGGTGGTGCTGACATGGTTTAAGATCATGGGATCAATCTTATTGTTTCAGAAACACTTTTTCTTTTAAAAAAAGAAAATATAGTGTCTATAGAAAATGTCATGTTTTAATAGCATAGGTTCCTGTTAACTCCTGTTTGCTCTTCCTTGAATAGCCAGCATACTGCAAAGATTCATATCAGAGCACTGCAGCTGGGTGTTCTGATTCAGAGCTGCCAGACAGTCACAGCTTGACAGCTGTATAGCTGGCTTGATTTAAAATTAACAACGCTGAGTCCTTCTTTGGGTACTCTGATCTCAAACACGATTTAAAAATGGATAGAGAGTAACAATATTGCTTTGGCTCTTTGAGATGAATGAATCCACAGCTAGAAAGCTTTCAAACTATTACTGCTGGTCCTACCTCCAATAAGGTGACACCTCGTTCAACGCTTTGTTCTGGTTCTATATAGTGAAGAACACCCAAGAGGCTTTCTTTTTCCTCTATATGAAGAGGCCATGCACTCTATTTAAGAGCCATCCTCTGTGGTTTGAGGAATAGAGGGTGCTGCTCGCATTATGCAGGTAAGATTTCATAGGCAGCTGTGAGAAGAACCCCGCACCCAAGGTTACATGAATATGTTGGCACTGAGTACATACATCATGGATGTGCTTCAGGAGTTTATCATCATTTAAGTGCTGAAATAAATAAATTCACCTTTTACAAGATGCCTGAAATAATTTCATATTCAAGTAAATAAAAAAGCTAAGTTTGACAATTTTAGGTGTTTTGGTGAAAGACAAATAGGGAAGAGTCTGATTTTCCTCTCTTCCTCTTCCCTTCCTTCAAAATAAGCCAGTTCATACCAGGAATCTGAAGATAAATATTTAGATTTGAATATTTAGATTTGTTTTTTTCCTTAGAACTTGCATTTATCCAGGTTTTGGTCATGCCATACAAATCCTCTATCCTCACTGCAAGAGAGATATGTGAGATCCTGCCCAGAATTACACAGTGAAGTATTTGATCTGCAAGGGATTAAATTGTACTAAAAACTCTAAGGCCAAAAACTTGGGTATGTGCACAACAGAATAGTGTGTAAAGTTGACCTGTTGTGAAGAGGCCCGGCTAGACTGGGTCAGATCAGTGGCAAATCTTGCCTTCAGATATATTTGCTGGACGTTCAGTCCATGCACATGTTCAGTCCGTGTGCACACTGAGCTACTTACTATAGATTTTGCTTCACCAAGACTCATGCAACTTGGTGACAATCGGGAATGTGTCTCCAGTTAGCTGTGAGCAGAATTTCCCCCTGGTTTCTTCTACTGGCTGTAATAGATACTGCAATAACCACATGCAAATGTGTGCTAATCAGAAGCTTAATCCGCTCAGTTCAATATGTTATTCTATTTATTTTCAGAGAAAAATCAGAAAGATTCTCCATTTTCATGTCAGTGCTGAAAATTATCTTCCATGAAATAAATAAGTTGAAATAACTGCAATGTAATACTCAAGTATTATTGAGTTGTATATTTGAACAATTTCCTGAAATTGAGGAGAGAATTGTGTAAATTGGTCTAAGTGGTAGCTTGAACATCCCACTCTTTTCTTTCTTTTTTTGAGGCAGTATTTTTTTTTTTTTTTTAACTACGTCATCATTGTGTTCATGATAAAGACAGCATCTTCACAGATGCATGGGATTTGGAGAAAATTATTTGCATCTTTTTCTTATTACTTGTCACTGTTCCATGTTTTCCCTGCGATGTTTTCTGCGACGGGGCGTCTCTCGTCACGACATTGTTTGGCACTGACAGGAACGGCGAACGCGGAGCAGCCAGCCCTGCTGCCCTTCCTGGAGGTGGTGGTTTTGCTCGGAGAATTAAATTGCCAGGGGCTCTTATTAAAGATTGCCAGGAGGACTCTCCCGGAGATCCAGAAAAAAAGGCAGTGCATTCTGGGAACTGTCAGCACGGCACTTGGGAGCACAGATTTAATAACTCTCACTCCATTCCCTGGCTAAAATGCAGCAGCTTGGAGAAGGCCCCAGGAATGTGTCATAACAATGGCTGGTGTCAAAAGTGCACGGAAGTGTTTTTCCTGAAAATGACAGGATTTTCACCAACTCAACAGTCAGGCTTTGAAGATGCTGTGGTCACTCCTGTGCTGCAGTGCCATTCCTCTAAATTCACGGTGATTTTTATTAAGACATGCTATAATTTCCAAGAACTGTAATCTTCAGTGTGGTTTGACTCCTCATGCAGAGCAATGAGCAATTTTTGGCACACTTTTTGATGAGTTTAAAGTATGTGTGAAAGACAAGTACATGTTACCGTGTACACACAGACACAAAATAATTACGGGATATAGGAATTTAATGTAATAAAAACAAATTCAGTATCACTTTGAAAACTTAAAACACTGCAGTCTAGATTACAAAACAGGTTTATCCTGGAAGCTTTGAGGCTTTGCAATTCCTGAACCAAAGTTAAGCATGATTTCTCCATTTCCTAATTGGAAAAGCTTACGCTTCTGGCATGGGGTATACACTTGCCAAGAAGGATGCAAGAAAAGGGGCTATCCAAAGTCTCCCTGTTCTGTTCCCTCGGACTTCCGCGATGCTTACGAGGGTGCGAGGAGGAGGAGGAGCAGGAGGAGAAGGCTCCCGATGCCCCAAGCACAGCAGGACTGCTGGTGCTGGTGGCTTTAGCAGGGCTCCTTCCTTGATATCGCTGCCAGCTGGCACCGGGCGCCCCACGTCCATCCGTTGAGCGGCCTCGGCTGCCGCAGCAGTTGACCCCGCGCAAGCTGCCCCCGGGGACAACCTCTTCTTGGCTGTGCTAGGGGGACAGCGCAGGTTGGCATAGGGCAACGTGACACCAGGGGCCTTTATCAGGTTAAAAGTCTAGATGGAGCTGCAGTGCACAGGCCGCTTCTTGGCACTGCTTGGTTTTGAGGGTGTTTTGAGGAATAATCCGTCTTCTACAGCCCTAAACTCTTCATCAGTAAGAGGTGTAAATAGTATCTACGTTGTGGGTCTGTTGGCCACGTGGCACCATGTGCCATTCGCTACGTCAGCAGTCACAGAGGGAGGCACGAGGAAAGCGAAAGCCGCCCTGCAGGAGCCTGTCCGGCCTCCCCAAACAGCCGTGGATCCATCTCCTCACAGCCACGGATCTACCAAGACGGGAAGCCGGCCCAGCTTGGCGCCACAGGAAGGACGGCGCGCGCGGCCGCGAGGACGGTACTTCGCTCCTTCGCTCCTTCACCTCTGCGGCTCTGGCACCGGCGCCCCTCCATGTCGGAGCCCTTCTCGCCTCCTGCCCAAGAAGGTGCCGGAAGGAAGAGCTGCGAGGGCCGAGGGGCCGCCAGCAGCCCCGGCCCGCCCGTGGCGCAGCTGAAACGGCAGCGCGACAGATGTCATCACATGCTTACCCACGAATTACAGCAACCTGGTTTATAAATAGATTTCACGAGTGCCGAGCTGTCAGGGGGAACAGGAAACTGTGGAGCCTTGAGAAAGTACATACATATATATATATATATATATATATAGCGTATATATATAAAAATATATAAACCAGGAGGCACAGGCTTAGCAAGCAGCCCTGCAGGGATGCGGTGCACAGGCTGCCACTATGCCACCCCACTGCCCCACACTGACATGGCTGCCCACCTTGGCCCCCTCCTTGCTGCCTTTCCAGACCCCACAGCCCTGGCAGACAGGAGGCCATGAGTGTTCACGGGGGTGTTGTGCTGCTCCCACATGGAGAGGCTCCCTGCTCAGCTGGTGGCCGTTGAGGAAGGGGGTGGCCATTGCCCACAGCTGCTGCCCCAGCTGTGGGGAGAGCAGGGCAGGGTAGGGGCTTTCTATTCATGGCTGCAGCAGTCATGGGTGCAGAGTTGCTGGAATGGTTAGGCTTTCTGATGCCGAGGGGATGTGGTTTTATTGTTTCTGGACCTGGAGCTACAGGACTGTGTCTGCAGCCGCTGAGGAGGGAGCAGGAGTGTGCTCACCATGGCTGGTGGCCCCATTAAGGTACCATGGCCCCTGTGGCTTGGGTGGAAGGATGGGGCCATGCGGTGGTGTTGGCAGTGAAGGGCAGCTGCCCATGGTGCCTGCTGGTTGGCACTGAGCCACCCGCGGAGCCAGCGGGGCGAGGGGACGCGCAGAGCGGTGCTGCACTGGGCAGGTAGCTCCCTCTGGGCTGTTCCTGGTACCCGTGGTGTTTTGCAGGATGGTTGCTGTGGGCTGGTCCTGGCTGCCCTGTTTGTGCAGTGTTTCAGTCATGCTCCGGGACCACATTCCCTCCAGGAAAGGTGCTGCTTGATGTGGTAGTTGTTCTGGTGCGGACATGCCATTCCCTGGGGTGTATATGGGTGTCTAAGTGGACAGAGTGCCCTCCTAAGGGAAGGATGACCAGCACATCCCACCAGCACATCCCACCCTGATACCTGGTACAGATCTGGCACATTTGTGGCACACAAATGTGCCAGATCTGTCTGGAAACCCTCTGGCGTGCTGACTGGAATAGTCTCAAGGTTTAAGAGGCCAGCCTGGCTTTTGTCAGGAGACCCGACAGAGACCTGTAGGAGACCTCTTTTGTTGCACTGAAGAGGACTAAGGATTAGGATGGGGCCCATGCCACAGCAGCAGTGCAGAGTACTGCTGTCCCACCAGCTGGGAGGTAGCAGGCCTATCTGCAAAGCCCTGTTGTGTGGGAACTAGCAGGGCAGGTGCCCACTGACTTGCAAATTGAATGGCTCATTACAAACGTGGGGAGATTAGCAGCAAAGATAATCCACTGAGCATGAAAATAATCCTGCGTAGCCTGAGGAGATGGGCAGCGAACTCCTCCGAGCCAGGATACACAGCTACGCTGTTGGGCCCCAGGGACACAGACCTTGTTTTTGAAAGCCGTGTGCTCTGGAGGAGAAAGTAAATGGAAAAACAGTATCGCCTTGCTTTTCTAACCCAGAAAAGGAGCCTTGACTGTTCATGGAAAACAATCGTATTATTGCAAGGGAAACGGGAGCATGGAGGTTTTTCTCTTTCTCACAAAACTAAGGCTAATGTAATGAAAAAAATGTCTTATCTTTATGAAACTGTGAATTAGTATGGAAACCAGGTTTTTACTTCAAATTACATTTTTTTTTTTTTTTAAATCATGTGTTTTCATGTGGCACATTCTCAGAATTCATTTAGTTTGGGTTAATTCAACTGTTTTTTCACTTGTTTTAATCTTGTATCCATAAGAAAAAAAGGAAGTGTTGAAACTAATTAAAGGCCTGCCTTTGCTTTGAGTTTTAGTGGTGACAATCCATCTTACTTAATATGTGTTTTGGTCCATTATTTTTAGTTTTCCTGGGGGAGAGGGAAAGAAAGGGGTGGTTAGTTTCCCGTAATGGAGACAGAAATGTATTTTCTTGTGAATGCTCCAGTATTTTATTATGAATGAATCTTACACTTTAATACTTACTGGATTCTTTGTGGGGCAGGATTGAATGAGTTGATGAGTTGTTTACATTTCTACTTTTCTATAGCAAGAATAATATGGAAAAAGGCAGGACAAGTAAAATGTCTAATCTTGCTAGGTTCAAAGAAAAGCGACTGCGTCTTGATAAGATCCATATTAGGCCAAAGCTGAAATCCATGACAGTGAGTGTCATTGTCTTAGCTCGCTTATTACCAGTGGCAATATTTAGCCTGCAGTGATTGTTTTCATTTGTACCAACAACACACAGTTGCCAGCGACTGCTCTGCGTCTTCTCAGGGTCAGATGCTGATCCAGTTGCGCTCGGACAACACTTGTTAAATTCTAGTCAGGGAATTTAGATGTTACATTTTATGTTTATAGACTTTCAAGCCTAGTCTTAATTGACTTATTTTGTGAACTTGAAATGATAATCTCCCTTAAAAAACTTGCAATATAACTTTTCTTCGTTCAGCATAAGAATGTATTTGGTGATTGCAGCGTTAGCAAAGACAGCAGAATGCAGTGACTGATGTTAGCTTTTAAGAATACTTAATTACAGCTGAGCACTCGTATTGATATCTGAGCTTGCACTCATGCTCCCATTACTCAGCTGTCTCCCTGTGATCCTGTGTATTAATGTGCACCTGGTCTCCAATCTGATACCTGGCAGCTGTCTCTCCTGTCAAAAGTTGTGGAAACTTCACTTCAAAGATAATGCACATACGGAAGTACCACCTGTACAGGCAACATGCAGGTGCTAGGGTCTGTTTTGAACTTGCCTGTAGCCTTATAGAAGTAACCCAGAAGCTTCAGGCTGTCTGTCCATCTATTCCCATGCATCATCCTCGTTTCTGTGCTCCTGAAGCTATTCTGGCCTTCGCTTTCTACAGCAAGAACAGGAGGGTGGAAACCCTCTCTACATTTGCTTTCATTCCTCAAATATCACTCCTCTTTCAGCACATCTGAAGCTGATAGATCTGTATGAGGCACTGAAGAAATTTATTTTCTCAAGAGCCTTGAGAGTAAATATGTCCTAGGCCAGAATTTTTCTACTGGAAAGTATTGCTGAAAAGGCAATATAAAGCCACACAGAAAAGAGAACACTGACCAGACCAGCTATGTAAGTGAACTTAAAGGAGAAGGATTAGGTAGAGAACAAGAATGCAGTCCCACATGCACAGGTTTTAAGAGTAGCAGCGTTGGGAAATCCCCAGATGATAACTTGGATCTTCTGCATTCTGCTAATCCCAGGGGTTCTGGTTAGCACTGAGTTTATGATGTAGGGATGACCTTCTTTCAAAGGGATATTCCTGGGATTCAGATTGTAGGTCTGGATGGGACAGAGATAAAACTCTGCTCGTCTTGCAGTATCTTGAGGCTGAAAGTCTAGAGATGGTGCATCAGCAGGGCAGTACTTGTAGCACATGAGCACACCCAGCAGTGTCTTGGGACTGTAAGGACTCATGGGCAGCACATGCTCCAGCTGTGCTCTGAAATGAGGGAGTTTGTAGATCCCCTCCAGGGCCTGCATGCAACAGAAGTACTGCTGGGAATAAGCTGGGCTGACAAAAAGTGAAAAAACAGAGGCCCTCGGTGTGTGTTTGTGCTTATGTGTGGGTATTTTGCATGTGTATTTAAAGGATCAAAAGGCAAGGGTGAGTGAGCAGTTGCTGGGGTCCTGGGGTCTTTCTGGGTGGCACTCGCCAGTATCGAGGCTGGCAGGAATACTCCCTGCATATCGCAGTGTGTGCATCACCTGCGCCCTTGACAGCCTCGCTCGGAGCCATGGATCAGCAAAATCTGATCTGGCTGCCTCGTAAGCAAGTCCTAGACAGTAAATGGGTGTGAAACTACCACGCCTTTGCCTAACCAGATTAAATATTCAATAAAAGTGGGTTAGAAGATTGTTATACAAGGCTGATTCTTGGCTGTTTGGCTGCCTTGTCTCTGAGGCTATACGAAGAGTGCCCTTTGATTCAGAGAGGTTGCTCCAGGTTTGTTTTTGTTCCTGGATTGATCTTTAACTGACTTGCCGGGATGCCATGTGGGCTGGGGAGGGCCGTGCTTCTCCTGCTGTTCCACATTCTCCCGTTTGAGGCAGAAAGTCTGTCGGTGACCTCACGTTTCCCTTCTCAATTCTTCCTGCAGACCTCCCTAGAAGAGTGTGTGCTGGCAATAGGGCGGCCCCCCAGTGCCAGCCCTTGCTGTGCAGTGCTCCCTTGGTGAGCCGAGAGGTGCCTTGGCTCTCGGGAAGGTACATGGGCTCTATAACCTGCACCGCATCAGTGCGTGCCCAGTGCAAGCCAGAGGTGCTGTGGAAGGGCCCGTAGGGTGGGCAGCGAATTGGAGCTTGCTGGTTCCTATGCAATATGAACACGATAGGTTCGAGCCTGCTAGCACGGTGAAATCAAACATCAGGTTTTCCCAAAGGCAATATTTTTGTTGTTGCAGGATTGGAATTTAAGCTTTGACTTCTTTGAGTAAAAGTTCCAGGGTTATTAATGATATCAGCTATTGTGTAACTGCAGCTTAATGTGACAGTTCTTAGGTAAGCAATGAAAGTGGGAAGGCTTTTGCACGCATCAAGAAGTTGGAGAGATTGCTCAAGACACACCTTTTATTAATGCTGGATTAAATCTCTGTTGTTCTAGCATACTTACTACATGCTGACTCTGCTCCAGAATGCCTGACCATGATTAAAACAAGCATGTTTATCTGTCAAAGGAAAAGAAAATGTTGTAGACAAGAAGCTAAGTAGTTCCTTATTTTGTGTAGTTATCTTCCTTCTTTCATGTATCATCATTCCGTAGTTGCAGTGAGCACTGAACACTGGCATATATCATCATACGCAAATCTAGACTCCTGAACTCTTGGGTATAATAAAATAATGTTTATTTTGACCTTGTGATTGACTGAGAAGGGAAGACTGAGCACATGCATTTGACTGAAAAGGAGTACTTTTTTTTTTTTTTTCGCCTGCGGAAAGGAACTTGTATGTTCAGTTTGCAAAACAACCAAAAACCT